GTAAAAATTATGTAACAAACTTACTAGCTGTGGTGGTTAAAGTTGTGTTGGTTTGTATTGGAATTAACTGTCGTGATTTCTGTCATGTTTTACTGTAAAAAAATTATGTTATAAAACTTACGAGCTATTTCGATGACACACAGTGAGTGGTTAGTTTATATTGAATTAACTGTCGTTATTTCTATCACGTTTTACCGTAGAAAATTATGTTACGAAACTTACAATTGCGATAACACAGCGTGTGGTTAAAGTTGAGTTAGTTTGTATTGGAATTAACTGCCGTGATTTCTATCATGTTTTACTGTAAAAAAACTATGCTACAAGCTTACGAGCTATTATGGGAATACACAGTGAATGGTTGTTAGGTTAGTTTGTATGGAATTAACTGTCGTGATTTTTATCATGTTTTACTGAAAGAAATTACGTTAGAAAACTTACTCGCTATTGCAATAACACAAAGTGTGTAGTCAAGGTCGAGTTAGTTTGTATTGGAATTAATTGTGTGATTTCTATCATGCTTTATTATAACAAATTATATTACAATACTTACTCGCTATTGCGGTAACAAAGATAACGGTTATGTTGGTTGGTTTGTATTGGAATTAACTGTCGTGACTTATATCATGTTTTATTTAAAAAATTATGCTATAAAACTTACCGACTATTGCGATAACACACGATGTGTGGTTAAAGTTGCTTAGTTTTGTATTGGAATGTTTTATTGTAAAAAATTATGTAACAAAACTTACTAGCTGTAATGACGCGTGTAGCTAAGGTTGAGTTAGTTTGTTTGGAATTAACTGTCGTGATTTCTACTGTATTAGTTTTACGTTAAAAAATTCTGAAATTGTTACAAAACTTACCAGCTGTAGTGACACGTGGTTGAGTTAGTTTGTAATGCAGTATGGAAATTAACTCTATCACGTTTTACTGTAAAAAATTATGTTACAAAGCTTACGAGCTATTTTGGTAATAGACGGTGTGTGATTGAGTTAGGATTAATTGTCGTGATTTCTATCATGTTTTATGTAAAAATTTATGCCACAATACTTACAAACTATTGCGGTCACACATAGTGTGGTTAAGGTTGAGTTAGGAATTAACTGTCGTGATTTCTGTCTTATTGTAAGAAATCATGTTAGAAAACTTACTCGCTATTGTGGTAACACACAGTGGGTGGTTAAAGTTGAGTTAGGTTGCATTGGAATTAATTGTCGTGTTTCTTATCTTATTTTACCGTAAAAATTGTTACAAAACTTACAGACTATTACAGTAACACACAATATATGTGATTGTGTTAGTGTGTATTGGAATTAACTGTCGTGATTCCTATCATGTTTTACTGTAAAAAATTATGCTATAAAACTTACGAGCTATTGCAGTGTGTGGTTAAGGTTGAGTTGAATTAACTGTCATGATTTCTATCATGTTTTACGGTTAAAGCCTAAAATTTACAAACCATATTGTCTTACAACTCTTAAACTAAGTTATGTGCTTTTGTTGCCCATTCATCACCAGGCCTAATTTTTAATAATTTTTTTAAGTCAGCAAATGATTCATTATATTTTTTTATCATATAATAAATTTCTCCTCCATATCTTAGTGCCATTATATTATCTGGTTTATTTTCTAGCAGTTTAGTTAAATATTCAAGCGCTTTATCATATTCTCCCATAATATAATAAATTTCTCCTCGAAATCGTAGTGCTAATATTATCTGGTTCGTTTTTTAGCAGTTTAGTTAAATCTTCAAGCGTTTTATCACATTCGCCCATAAAGAGAAATATTTTTTTCTCGATGGCTTAATTCAAGTACATTCTTCTTCTTTTCTAATAATTTGTCTAATTCATCTCGACATAGGTCAAAAGTTTTAAGATTTATCCGGTTTTTTTCCCATGATAATAACTTTTTACTGAGATCATTGTTAGCCATTGCTTTCATAGAAGTGATATTATTAATGGTTGTGAATATTTGTAAAAATATTAAATGTCGCGGCTAATGTTGAAATTTAGGGTCTCAGTTTAAAAACATAAGCCCTGCTAAAATCCAACTATACTCTTTAAATATCAGATCTAACCATAAACCCTAAGCCTAACCCTGAAAAAAATACCCAATAAATTTTAATATAAAAATAGGGCCACGTTTCAACATTGCTAATTTCAGCATCAGTCGCGACAATAATTTAAATGCTAAACAAATTTACTTAAATATTCAAACTTCTTATGACCAAAATTTGCTTATATAGATGCATCTTGTGATCTTAGTCCAATGCAAGGATACAAATTACTTCTTAAGCCATCGGGTAAATAGCATGCAATTCCTTGAAATATAACAAATATTAAGTCTAATTAATTAATGGTTAAAAAGAAAAAATATAGCATGGATTTACCTAGGTTTACACCATTTTTAGTACGTATAAAATATTATCATATTTCTAATAATGTCACCAGTAGCATATCCAGGAGGCTCCGATAAGTCATATGGCTCGCAGTTTCCAGATCCAAAAAAATATCCATCGTCGCCATGGTAGCCACACCCCCATGATTCGTTTCCATGTATTCTTCATTTTTCTCATTGGTTTCATTTTCCTTATCTTTCTTATATTCCTGATCTAAAGAATATTTTATAGATATTAATCTGTAATAATAAGAAAATCAATAAAAATTTGCTATTACCGGGCAAGAGCATATATATCATTTATATAGTCTGAACCATCTATCGTCATTTTTTTATCGCTTTGCTTCGTACTACATCCAACTCTGATCATTCTATAATACAGTAGAATTCAAAGAAATATTGTAAGAACAGAGTTAACGTTTACGACACGAAATAATTATTAGTATATTACCCATTTTTATAATTTTAATTTCAAAGTAAAATATCCCACATTGTGAAGGGATCGGATGATTTGCTCGAATTATAGCAGATTTATAATCATCAGGATCTTTAATTAAAAAGTTTTTAATAGGTTAAAAAGCTATAATGGCATTTTAAAATGCCAATAATTACGGTAGCACTAAATATGTTTCTTTATATTTAATCATTTCTAATTAATTAATTAATTAAATAATTAATAGGAAATTGCCAATTATAATTGTGTTGTACGTTTTGGGACAGGTTTTGTCAGTACTGAATCATACTCATTATACATAATTTCAATATCAGTAATTGTACAAACAGTCTTGTTCATTAGTTGTGGTTCTTTAGCCGATCATGGAAGTAAGTAGATATTTAAATTCATTTTATAATTATTAATGATAATAAGCATTTATAAGATTAACAAAGGTTATACGTTATTTTATATATAGAATTTCAAAAAGTGTTCGCCTTGCTTTATGCCTTTATAGGTGGCATTTCGACGATTTTGTTTGTAACTATTACTAGTCCTCGTAAGTATTTCACATTTTTCCGTTTGGATTACGACAAATAATGTTGTGATTACTTATTTACTTAAGAGAATTTCTTAAAAAATTCCAATAGAATTATATTTATTGGCTGGAGTATTCGCTATTATATCGTAAGCATTGATTAAAAGACCTTTTGTAAAATTTATATTCTCACAATAATTAAAATATTTAGAAATATTTGTTATGGAGCAACAAACATCTTTTCGGGGGCTTATATCCCACCATTTGCTCGAAATCATCCAAAAGTTATAGAAGCAAGACTTTCAAATGAGCCTATCACTGAAATTAAAAAGTTGGAAGACAAAATGACTGTTAATTTATCATCTCATTCATTGGTTGCAGCAATTTTTGCTTGTATGTTAGTAATGTTTTCAGCGAGTGCAATTCTTATATTGACAAGAGGTTCGTCGTATGGCACTCAGGTAGCGTTAGCATTTTCAGGAGCTTGTTGGTTGGTATGTTTTAAATATCAAACTTACTGAATTTAATTGATTGAATGATTGAAATATGTAAATGGGAACATAAAGACTAAATAAATTACACGAATTATTTAGATTTTATTAATATTTCCAGCAATATGGTTAACTATTAGGCCAAAACCTCCTTTACCAGAGTATTTAATCATTTTTTCTTGTCTATTTTAATAATGAATGTTTCATTATATTTATGTATATTTATGTATATTTATGTATATTTATGTATATTCTAATACATATTTTATAGGGGAGAAAATTATTTATTATACTCTTGGAAACGTGTAGGAAAAACGTTATTATCAACTCGATCGCTCTGGCAAACGATGAAATTTCTTTTTGGCTGGTTTCTAATATCTGATGGCGTAAGCACGTTAGTAGTAGTCGGAGTTTTGTTCGGTAGAAAACATCTTGGATTGACCGACGTCGAACTGATTCTAATGGCATCACTAATCCCAGTATTCGAAATAATGGGCATATATATATTTTTCTTTTTACAAAAATTATTTCATTTGACTGAAAAAACTATCGTTATAATTACCTCTGTATTTTCAAGTCTATTACCATTATATGTGTTATTGGGTTATTGGTTACCAATTGGACTAAATAACAGATGGGAGATTTGGCTGTACTTGTTATGGTTTGGGATTTCTATTGGTGCAATATCTAATTACTGTCGAGCCCTCTTTTCTATTATGGTACCTATAGGGCATGAAAATGAATTTTTTTCTTTGTTTCAGATAACTGCAAAGGTAAGTAATTTTATAAAAAAAATTCTATGCTTAGCTCATTACTATACGTTATTTATTAATCCATTCATTTTTTAATACGAACGAAATAGGGTTCGAGTTGGATAGGTAAAGAAAATATATTCTTTTTTTTTTTTTTTAACCTTAAATTAACCTATATAATTATAATATTTAAAATTCTTATTATGTAGGAACCATTGCATCGGGAATTATTGTAAATATTACTCATGATACAAGGAGTCCTTTTTGGTTTTTACTCGTAGTAATTGCTTTCCCTGCTATAATATTTTACACGGTTAATGTTGAGAACGGTAAGGAGGATGCCGAAAAGTATTCAAATAGAGAAAAGAAAGCCGATCATTATTAATACAGCAATATTAGAATAGAATACTGTTATTTTAAAAATTTGTGTACTTTTAATTCATGCAATCTTTTATTAAAAGACTAAATCAACTATGTGTGATTAATTTCAAATCGTATTACAAAATGTTTATCTAAATTATTCTTTATCCCTAAAACAATAGTCCTTAATAAAACGAGCTTATTGATTCAATACATATGTCACTGCTATTATTATGAAAATAAGTTACCGATTTATCTTAACTATTAAAGGATTTAATTAACGGTAACGTTAAATAGAGGCGTTAGAATCTCGTAAAACGTAAATAATAAATGCTTAAAAATACGACCAAGATTTTGGATGCTTCACTCAATTTAATTTAATAGAGAACCAGAATAAAATAAGGATGTTTTCTGCATATATTGTTAGTCTGTATTTTTAAACCTGCTTGAACTCTGTTTCGAAAACACATAAATTGGATTTAGAGCCATGCTTTAAACTGTTTGATCATATAAATTTATATTGAAGTGTTTTTTTTTTCAGTCTTAAAATGGCCTTGTTGTCAACTGGTTTTACTTCTGTATACAATTTTGTATGCTTTCGAAAAAATTCCTCGGAGAATTGTCATAGATGGGAGCTAGCCTAAATGTTTCTTAATTGTATAAAGACCGCATCTATTAGATAATCATGCTGCATGATTATAGTGCTATTTAATTAAGTTCAAGCGCACTGTCTACGTTCTTTATATGTAATATTAAAAATTAAAAAAGATAAGACAATTTAAAATGCATGTTGACAAGGGTCAACGGATCGAAAAGAAAGGGTAGAACTGGCCAGGGGTTACATGCCACGTG